TTTTAAAAGTTTTCATTGTTTTCTTTGAAAACTGTTTCACTTGTTCCACGATAAGCTAAACCTTGAGTACCAAGGAACTGTACAATACAAAGAGAGAAGTTAAAACTAAAATTTTTGTTTTAAAACAAGACTTTTTACTGTATTTTTATACATTTTATTTTTTCAAGAAAGGGCTAAACCTTAAATAAAAACGAAATTGAAGTACTTTTACTGGTTGTAAATTAAAGCATTTTTTTGTACAAAATAAAGATTTAGCTTCAACTTCTTCATCAAGAAATCTTGAGACTGATTTTTTTTCCTCACGTCTTTTTCACTTTGAGAACAAGTTGTTTTATTTTTTGTTTATTATGATTTTAATTATGATTAAAAGTACACCCAACACCGTACATCAAAAAAAGAATATTATAAAAATAGAAAACAATGGTTACTAAGGCTTAAACAAAGGGTAACCTATTATCTTTTTAACTTATTATTATTTTGTATTTATTAATAAAGTTAATTGTAAAAAATTCACTCTTATATTGTATCTTATCTGCAATTGATTTTAATTATCGTTTGAATTTTGCTCTTCCAGTCTATAGAAAAATTTAATCAATTTATTTTTTTTCCGCCATGATGACTCAAAAACTTATTCTTTCATGTAATTAACAAACTACTACTTTTTGCTGTAATTATTTTTTTTTTCATTGAAGTGCAGAAGCAAATAGATACAAAATCAATAGTTTAAAATAAAAACTTTGGCGCCCCTTAATTTGAGTTTACAATTAAATAAACATTTAACATGATTTAAATTAAAAATTAACTCACAAACTTATTCTTTCAAACAAATAATTAACTACTATCCTTGATCTAATTATTTTTTTATTAAAGTGCTGAGAAAAAATGTAAAAAAGCATTAGTCTAGCATGTAAAGTTTTGCGCCGCTAATATGTAAACAACTCAATACATATACACGCTAAATTTAAAATTAAATAAATTTAAATTTAATTTATTTTTTTAATCGAAAAATTTTAAATTGAAACTTAAAACTTTAATGATTTAAAAAAAAAAAAGAAAAAAAAAAACGTTTACTACACCGGCGCCCTATGCGACCGCATAACTCGCATGGTCCTTGCGCCGGTGCCCCAAGAAGTCCTTACGGTTTTATCACAGAGGACGCGGAAGAGAAGTTCACGTTTTTCCTTACCGACCAAGTTCGCCTTCTTCTTTACCGATGTTATAAAACTTACCCAGAGGTGGTGTTGAACCACGGATCTCTAGCTTCTGAGGCAAGCGCGCTAACCACTGGTCTACGGCTGCTATATTCGCTTAATTAAAAGACATGCGTCATCCGGGAATCAAATCCGGATCTATTGCTTCGAAGGCAAATTTTTATTAAATTCTTAAAAAGATTTTGATAAAAATACTCATAACTTTTGTATATTTTCTCATTCTCTGAACTTTTATTTTCAAAGAATTTTTTACATAGTTTTTGTTTGTTTTTAGAACATTTTAAAAGTGTTTTGTTTATCCAAGGATTACTAAGTGCTTTTGTTTTTTACTAAGGATTAGTAAGTGCTTTTGTTTATCCAAGGATTGCTAAGTGCTTTTAACTTTTATTTCTTCATATGGACAAGCTTCGTTGAATATTAGTTGAAAAAAAAATACTAAAGCTTTGTTTCTGTTAAAACAATTAAAGACATTATTTGAACTTTCTATATTTAATTTATTTGATAGTTCATTTGTTTTAGTAATGGTTTTAGTTTTGGCTGAATATTCCTAAATGATTTATTTATGTTAATGTAGATCGTAAAACGGTCGCTTATATATGTTTTAAAAATGCCTGATTGAAATGGCATTTTTAAAACATATTGTTTATAAGTATATAATCAATTTCAGTTTTTGAAAGACACTAGATAAATATCATGTAAATTAACACCGAAAAGAATGGTCATGTATCGCGTGGTATTGCTTATACGCTAATGTCGATACCATCAGTATTAGTTTGATACCACGATACCAATAATGAAAAAAATCGGTATCGAATGGTCATATAACCACTAAAAGAAAAAAAATGAAAATGTAACTTTTTGATTTTATTACTTACAAAATAAAGATTGCTTTTTAGGTTTAGTTTATAATGTTTAGTAAACGATATTATAATAGGCATGATGAACAGCATAATGACTAGTTTACTTTCGTTGTTAAATGTTAAAATTCAATTATGTTTAATTAAACACAATGAAAAAAAAATATACCATGCGAAAATTACAATACCACGCGAGGTTTAATCAAAGTAACGATACCAGATGAGAAATTAAAATTGTTAAATTAAAACTAGTTAAATTAAAATTGCGAACCTACTTCAAACATTAAATATGAATTTTTATTGAACTATATGAATAAACTATATAGGGGAAAGTGAAGAGAAGTGGGGTTATGGAAAAGTGAGATATCTCAAAAATTCTAATTAGAAAAGGTCTCTTATTAATGTATCTAATGTAAACAATGAAACATTTTCCCCTATATTTAGTAAACATAGCTTTGTCTTCCTGCGTGTGGGAAAACCATATTTTTTATAAGTAACTTCAAAAAACTTTACTTTGAGAGATAAGATGGAACAAAAATTTCATTAATCTCCTATTTCTCCCATATCACTTTTGTGCAATTAATGTTTGAAACCTCTTGAGTATTTTAATGAAGATCACGAGGTTTACGGTTTGTTGATGTTTGCTATACTTATATTATTCAGGAATTTTAACCTAAGTTAATTCAAAACAGACTTATGACTATTATTTTAATTGGGGTTAGACAAGGGTGTTTTGTAATTATTTAGTTTATCGGAGTAAGAGATGTAAAAGAGACGTAAAATGTGCAATAAAATTCCTTGCGTGTTTTTTTACCTACCCGTTCCGTGCGTGTTTTTTTACCTACACCATTAAAAACTATAACTTGAACTTTTCCTGATTTGTGGATTCTTTTTTCATTAGCTCCTGTTAATAATGAATCTCAAAATATCATTTATTCCTGAGGGTAATTTTTGATTATTATTTTGAATGTCAAATTTTTGGTTTTGGAGTTTTTAAGTAAACTTTTTTGATAGCTAGAGTAACCTGCTATCCCAGCAGGCACAATGACGTTGAAACTGGGATTTGCTTTTTCCTAACCAAAATTAATTGATTAGATAATTTTTCTTTTATTGTGTATGAAGGTTGAATTGGTTCATTTATTTGAGAAATAGTTGATTTTGCATATTCAGGAGAAAATGTATTTTTTTTTTTTGACTCTTAAAATTTAAATTTAAATTTAGAGCGAACTGCAAGTTGATTATTTAATCGATCTTTTTTATTTGTTGGTTTCATAGAAAGAACTTCATTTGATTTTATAATTTTATTAGGTTTATTATACATAACTTCCGTTTGTAATTTTTTAAATATATTCAAATCAAAAATTAAATTTGAAACAAAATAAGAGTTTTTGAAAATTTACTAAAATTTTACAATATTTATTTTTATTATATTATTTATTATTATATATTTTTACTAAATCGATTTTTATTATATTATAGGAATACAAAATTTGTCTAGATTTTTTATTACAACATGTTATCGTTATCGTTATCCATTAATTATCGGTCTGTTATTGTTAATTAACTAAAACTTATAAATACTTAATTAAATTTCTAAAGACCAAACTTTAAAACAAAACAATATTTCACGTTTGCAATAGAGATCATCATTAAACTTTTACGATATCTGCACCCTGGGTCTGGAATAACTTAACAACAAATACACGTGACTTAACTTTAGAAAGGTTCCAAAAAGGACTAAAGTATGGGTGGCGGGATAGCTCAGTTAGTTAGAGCGGCAAACGAAAAGTTTAAATCCGGGCTGTTGAACGATACGAGCTCAAATCCTGCTACCGCACAATAGCCCAGAATTCACTTTCACTGGAAAAAATTCATAACTAATTTAATATTAGAGCTAAATTCACTAAAATTAGCATGAGTACTAATATGATGTCTGCGGTTTTTATGAAGGTAAATTTTTTTATTTTGTTGCTTTGGATACCTTTATTTTTTTTATTTTTCTTATTTTTGTTATTTTGTTTTGTTTGTTTGTTTACATTTGACGTAATATATATAAATTACATATTTTTTCAAATACAAACAAGGCTTCTAAAAGAAGATCACAATGATCTTATCGTCAGAAGCCTTTTACAAAAGAGAGTACGTAGCATAGTATAAAAACGCCTTTTTACAATAAAAGTACGTAAAAAATCATATTAAAACAATAAATCGTATTTAAATAAATGAAAATAAATTGTAAACAAGTATAAAACAAAACTTGAATAAAGTTTATTATTATTTTTTTTTTTATCACAAGATAAATTAAAAATATTCTAAGATATTTTCTATAGAAAGAATGTGGTCTTTTATTTTTAAAAACAGGATAAATTAGGGGTAAGTCTAAGTTAGACAAAATAATTTTGTGCCAGAGATGAGCTGCACGATAAGTGATACAAAATTGATTGAATTTTGTTCGACAGAATGGTTTATTTAAATAGTTATTATTCCTCATGTTAAACTTGCTTAAGGTGGTATCCAGCCATTATTTTGGTGAAAAATAAAAAAAAAATGAAAATTTTGAAAAAATGTTATTCATACAATTGAACATTGTAGAATTCAATAGAAAAAATATTTTATCAAAAATAATGTTAGAATATTAAGAATATTCTTCTCAAACACATCAAGGTATTTTTATATCACATAGCAACGACCATAGCAACCGTTTTAGCCTATAAGTTAGTCTCTGAAAATTAGACATAGCAAGCCTGTAACTACTCTTTTTTTAATGTTTTAAGTTTATATTGGTCTAAATGTCATAAATCTAAGTTACATTGCTATTTTTAACGGTTTAACATCGTGTTGTTGCCTTTTTGAATTCAGATGAAATAGTGCTTTACACTTTAAATTTTTATATCTTACCTATTACAGTTAAAAAGTTGTTGAAAAGTATATTATGGCCAACAAAAAAAGAATAATAAGACCAAGGAAAAGAAAGTTTAACGGCAATCAGCATAATAATTCCAATAATACCAATAAGCAATTTGATACAAACACAGGAAGTTCTACAAGTAGTAAAAAGCTAAAAAATAATCTTGAAAAAACATTATTTGATGACGACGAATTTATATTTTTTATGCATTTTAAACAAATGAAAAGTTGTTTTGAAAAGTATGCTACTTGTAATATATGTGGTACAAAGCTTTCCATGTTGCATGATCATTCAAGACACTTGGGTTTTTCTTTGTTTTTTCAAATTTATTGCAGTGGTTGTGCTTTTAAAGATACATTTTTTTCTTCTCCTGTTGTCAAAAACAATAAAGCTGGTATAAATACTAGTGAAATTAATGTACGCAGTGTTATGGCATTCAGGGAGATTGGCAGAGGCAGAGATGCAATGTTAACTTTTACCTCCATAATGAACATGCCACCACCTTTATCAAAACCTAGTTTTGACTGTATTAATAGCAAACTTTACGATGCTTATAAATCAGTCGCTGAGCAAAGTATGAAAAATGCTGCTATGGAAGTTAGGAGAATACTGAAACCTGACTCTAATATGAATGATGTTATTGATTGTGGTATTTCTATTGATGGTACCTGGCAGCGAAGAGGATATTCTTCTTTAAACGGTGTTGTGGTAGCAACGTCTCACGACAACAACAAAGTATTGGATACTGTTACATTATCTAAGTTTTGTAAAGGATGTCAAATTTGAGAAGGAAAAAAAGGGACACTCAAATATGAGCAGTGGAAAGTTAATCATTCCTGCCAAGTAAACCACACTAAATCAGCTGGTGCGATGGAGTCAGCTGGTGCAACAGAAATATTTTGCTCTTCAGTAAATAAATATAAGGAATATAGGGAATCGACTGCGTCTTAAAAGAAAAGAATTACGACGGGTAAAACTATCTGACGGAAAAAGTATATCTGGTAAAGGTCGTCTCACGGATAAAGTAATTAACATCTTGCAAAATTATGTTGGAATGGCTATTAGACAAAATTCAAATAGTCTTTTGGAAATGAGGAACTCTGTAATAGCTTCACTTCATCATTGCACTAATTTTACCTCTGGAGAATATCGTCATATGTTTTGCACTAAGGGTGAAAAAAGCTGGTGTAAATGGCAGTCTGATAGAGCAACTGGTCATGTTACATACAAGAAAAAGGTGAATTTACCCGTTGCCATTATGGAAAAGATCAAGCCAGTATTTCAAGATCTAGCAAATACTGATATGCTTGCAAAATGTTTGCATGGTATGACTCAAAATGGAAATGAAGCGTTTAATCAACTAATTTGGAACCGATCCCCTAAAACTATATTCACCTCTAATGTTGTTGTTGAAATGGCTGTTTACTCTGCAACCATTACTTATAATGATGGTTTTGCTAAGTTATCTTCTGTATTTGATGCTCTTAATATTAAATCTGGTAGTTACTTTAAAATTGGTGCAAGTAAAAAAAACTCTATACGGCTAAAAAATATGAACAAAAAAATGTCAGATGAAACAAAAAAAAAGAGAAAAAAATTAAGATCTGTTAGAAGAAACTATTTTGGACAAAAATTAGATAAAGAAACTGCAAAAGATTATTGTGCTGGTGGTTTTTAATGATTTATCTGAGTAGTATACATGATTTATAATTTTAAAATTGATTTTTCTCAATTTTTGTTTTTTGTGCGGGTAGCTGTAGCAAAACAATGATATCTCATTAAAAAAACATTATTTTAGCTTCAAATTTTCAGGATATGTTCATTATTGATGTTTATAGTGCCTGAACCTAAAAAAACATTTAAAAAAATTAAGCTTAACCTACAATTACCATATCTAATTAGTGTTTTATCGCTAAAAATAGTTTTTTATATCATTAAGTCTGCCATTTTTGATTGTTTAAATTTTTTTCAAAAATTATTGGTTCAGGCACTAGCTACACTAGTGTACTAGCTTTATGCAAAATTTAAACCTTTAATATTGATTTATTCTTAAGATATTTATGTTCTTGTGACGTTAACATTTTCACCTTTTTTTGCTGAATCAGCATTTATTTTTTATTAATTTAAAAAAAAAATTGCATTACGTTTTAGATCTTTATCTATTATGCTAGTAATTCATCATAGGTTTTTATTATGTGTAAAATATAAAAAAATAGAACTAATGGCTGGATACCACCTTAATGGTTTCAAAATAAAAAGATCTTTAAAAATTAAAGGAGATAAATCATGCTTCCACATATAGACAAAAGTTAAATTTTTATATACGTTTAGTTTATATATATCTAGGATTTTCATTTGATTAAAAAATATTGAGGAATGTGCGAACCGATCCGCAGAATTAATAAAACGGATCGCATGTTTCTGACGGCGATAAAGACATTGTAACTTGCTTTGATCAGTGCTACCCCAGGCAATAACTTCATAACTTATATAACTGTGGATAAAAGAGTAATAAAGTTTAGTTAAATTATTTTTATCTAAATGAGTTCGCGTCTTATATAAAATCCCGATACTTTTTGAAACTTTCGAGCAAACATAGTTAATATGATGTTTCCATGTAATGTTCTCGTCGATGAAAACCCCTAGGTATTTAGTTACAGAATCTCTTTTAATTTCAATATCGTCAATAAGAATTTTTGGTAGATTTGGAGATAGAAAACGTTTTTTGGAGAGCGGGTGGAAAAAAATCCATTTTGTTTTGATTATATTTAATGTCAATTTGTTACTTTTAAACCATTTAGATATGTTTTGAAGTTCTTTGTTCATCATGATAGATGTCACGGTTAGAGAGAAATAAGTTTGTGTCATCAGCAAACATAATACTTAGAAGATTTGATGCTTTATGTAAGTCGTTGATATATATTAGAAACAAAAGAGGGCCTAAGATGGAACCTTGCGGAACACCACAGGAAACATTTAAAAACTGTTTATGATTAAGTTCATTACAAGAAACAAATTGTTTTCTGTTCGATGAATAACTTTGAAACCATTTAATTACTCTTTCATTTATTCTGTAATAACTAAGTTTACAAAGTTTATTCCGTAATAACTATGTTTATAAAGTTTATAAAATTTTGCTTAGCAACAACTATTTTGTTATCTGCAGATATTTTATGAGTGCTATATTCACTAAATTTGGCATGAGTACTAATATAAGATCATACTTCTTGTAAAAGTGATAATTTTTTTTAGTTGCTGGATACTTATATTGCTTAGTTACCAGATACTTTCCTTAGTTACAAAGTGGTAAATTGATATTTGAATATTTTGTTGGATTTTCGATCCACCTATATTAAATAACAATTGAGTATTTAGGTAAATAATGTTTTTGCAATAATGAAAACAAAAAATTGTGCAAAAAAGCATTGTCAATTTTAAATAACATCAAAAAGTTATAAAACAATAGCATCGTTTAAAGATTGTTTAAGTAATTGTAAAACATCTGAAGAAAATGCTTCATGATTTGTTTGGTGTTACCAAGATAATGTAAAATCTGAATAAAAAGTTTAGATCAATACCCAGAGTTTCAGCTGATTGCTTGTTCCAGAACCACCATTTTTAGGGAAATCAACAACAAGTCTCATTTTGTTCATAAAATCAGTCTTATTCTTTTGTTTAGCTAGAGATGCCTTTTCTTTGCGTTCCTTAGATCTTGCTTGCCACTTTGTTGTTTCTTTTTTATATACAATGCCATCACAAAAAATAGAATCCATGCATGAAGACTGAAAAGATCATATATATATTTTTTTATATAAGCTATATTAAGGATATCAAGACTATTCATACTTAGACACTACACTACACACTGAACAGAGACACTACACACTATACTACACACTGAACACAATATTATCTGAAGTTTTTTCAGATAATATTGTTTGAACTTTCCTATCAATCAATGTAAGTTCAGTAATACAATTCAATTCAATAGAAGAACCAAAAACCTCTAATAAAATTATATCCAAGCTTTCTATCTCACTTTCATCCAGGTCGTATTTTGAAAAATCCGGAAATTGTTTGGGTAAAATATCGGGAAAAATTCCGCAATATATTTTTCCTTATTTTTGTCTTAATTTTGTTTTTAGCTGAACTGTTTCTAATTTCTTTTTTAAATTTTTTTAATTTTTTTATGAGTTTTGAGTGAAAAAACTTAAAAAACAAATATATTACAAAAATTTACACCTAAGCTTGTATGTATAGAAAATATTTGATTTTTCCAAATAGACACCTTTTCGTTACTGTTATTAAATCCAGTCAAATCCAATGGGACTAGACAAGTAATAAATAATGATCTTTACACTTTCTCACAATCTCTGCTCATGTCAGGTTCTGATAAAACTTGTTTATAAATGCTTTGGATAGTAACACCATTAAAATTAGCCTTACACGTGAGTGTCATTGTTTTTATTGCTTTGTCGTTCGTTATCAAGTGCCTCAGCACAGGTTCCTGAGCTGCACAGATTTTTTGCAAAGAATGAATAATTAAATCTTTTAAAAAAACTGAAGCTAAATAGTCCTGTAATACTGTTATATTTGCAGGATAACATTTTAATTTTGCATCTTTGGCATCATTGTAAGCGGGGTAGATGTTACATTCTTTCTCCTAGGCCCCGCTTCTAATCAATTGATAGAAAATTTTTATCAGACTGACATTAATTATTAAAGCCAGTGCTTCGTCTGCTGAATATTTAGTTGCTTTATTTGTTTTTGAAATATTTAAAAAATTCTTGGCAGCACTAACAATAGTTTTATCTCTAAATTTTTCATTAGCAGCAAAAAATAATTCATTGGATGAATGAGATTCAAGTAAGCAAGATACACGCCGTTTTTTAGTTTTATTAGAATTATTGTCAAATAAAACTGGTTTTCGATCATGTCTACTTGCAGTAGGTTCGTTGTTGTTTTTTTCTGACAATTAAATATTCATTAAGCTTTTTTTTTTTTTTTTTTTTTTTTTTCTTTTTTTTTTTTTTTACTGCATGCTTTCTTCACGAACAGACGTGTTTTTGCAGCGTTAGAATTAAAAGAGAAAAAAAAATCAGTATTTTTAAGTTTTTGAAAGAGAAAGCGTTGAATATATTATATATATTAAATAAAATAATATATATCAAAATAAATTAAGATGAGCAAAGCTGAAGTTCTTTCAATGGTAATGATGAGAGACCTTCTAAACCTACAAAAAGAGACAATCTTGTCATTCTTAACAGAAACAGTTATCACGATAAGTTTAAAATTTGAATCAGTTCAAAAAAACATTCAAGACGTAAAAAAGGATCTTGATGATATCAAAACTGGCCTAACATTTGTTGGTGATGCCTGCGACGATAAGGTTAAAAGTGTAAATGAAAAAATTGATAAAGTTAAAGAAGAGTTATCCAGCGTAAAGATAATACAGGGGAAAATTTCGACTGACAACAACGACCTAAAATTAAAATCTGTTGACATAGAAGATCGAAATCGAAGAAACAACTTGCGTATTGATGGTTTGTCTGAGAGTAGCGATGAAAAAGATTGGGATAAAACTAAAGAAATAGTAAATAAACTCTTTGCTGAAAATCTGAACATCAAACGAGAAGTCAAAATTGAACGAGCACACAGAGTTGGAGTTTTGAACAATAATCGTGAACGAACAATTGTTTTGAAACTGCACAACTACGAGGACAAAAAAGTGATCACTGATAACGCATCGAAGCTTAAAGGTACCAATATTTTTATTAATGAAGATT